CCGTGGAGCTGACCTTCTACTTTTAAATTTAGTAATCATTGTATGCTTGTACACGTTTGTTCACTAAAATTGATTAATCCCATGTGCTATATATGTGCCTGTTTATTTTAAGTCAGCGACTGAGAAGATTAAACGAAATGTTAACATTTCGCGATATTTGTCTTCTTTCTGTTGTGATGTCTTAGAGCTGTGGCAGATAAAGTATTGAAAACCATTTTGACACGGAATTCGCAAGTCACCATCAATTACAATCTGATACGAAACGAAATGATTCAACATACTCTCAAGAAACGCAGTATTAGGGGCTTCCATTATCCCAGACACGCACTAGAGACGGAATAACATTTGTACTTAATTTAACGAAGTTGTTTGGTGACTAGTGCGAATGGGAAATCAAAGTGGTATTCATGCAGAACACATTATATACAAATAGATAAATACACATTTACATATATACATGTATAAGACGTACGTACGGCCGTACCTCGAGTATTGTGTACATGCTTACAGTCCGCTCTTTATATGGGACATGAAGACACTAGGATCAGTCCAGCGTTGCTCAACCAAATAAATGGTTCGCTGGATTAAGATAAATATCATACGAGAGGTGTCCTGAAGACCTAAACCTGTTCCGGTCGAGAAGATTTAGGTGGCGTGGCAACTTAAGGCCTATAAAAAGTTTGAAAGGCTTAGGGTGTACCAGAGGTGCTCAAGCTCAGCGAGGCAACAAACTTGAGGTCAGGCATTAAAGCCGATAGATAGAGACAGATAAGAGATCGAATTGTGTGCATTGAACTCTCTTATGTGATCGGATCAGCCTTAGGGAGCTTCATTTCACTACGCTACTAGACTAATCTTGTTTATCTCTGTTTTCTCTGTTTATTTCCCTGTTTGACACAGTAGTCATTTATTGCTTTTTCTAATACCGTGACTGTAAGATGCGTTTTGACACAGTTGAGCGCTATCTTATTCTCATATGAGGCACGTATACCTGTAGGTGCCTTGATGACTGTCCTAACCCTCAACAAACATGGTTTGTATGTATTTAACCATACAATTAAATGATTGATATCACTGGCACCGTATCACACGGCAGTCTTGGTTTTCATTGTGTTGGATCCGAGACTTTACGCGTCACTTATTACCAGACATAAAACTAAGGCAGTCCTTCTAGTTCCGCAGAAAAGGAATCAACAACTAATATTGAGATTATCAACCTTATCGCGGTTGTTCCTGGTCCTCAACCCGCACTTTTTAACAAATCTCCACGAATAAGACATGAAGTACTAATTTAAAGAACAGAAAGGGCAAGCTCTTTAGGTAGTCGCATTTAGATAGTTCTCTATACACATAAAGTTCTGTTGTTGTTCAAGTTACCACGCGTCTACTTCGATTCAGATGACAGTTTATTATTTATTAGCCAAGAACATGGCAGTGGTCCTGGTTTCCGGGATTTAACTTTATAATGAATCAAAACATACAGTAGAACAATTCTGTAAACTCTATGAATCAAACTGTTATTCGTAAAATTATTATCACTACATCATTGTACAACGTAATACAGTGAAGCGAACTTCACCGATATCTGCCAAGCACATTATGCAAACAAGGTAAGTGAGAATGTGCCTCCAAAAGCCTCAGTATGATTGGGAGTGAGTGTCTAGGGTTGCGACTGGCCACCCTTCCTTGCACCTCGCGAAATGCTCCCATACGACCAAGCGTCTCGAATAGCTTCTGCTGAGGAAGCCCTAGGAACTGCCTCCTCGTGGCGGAGGTGTTTTATCACCAAAGTGAGAGAACGAAAAGCCAACATCCGGGGCTATAACCGGGTTGGTGGACCACTGGTAGTTCACTTAGGGGAGTTGGCCAAAAACCTTGATTCCAAACAAACCAAACAGAGGCTTACGAACCACAAACACCTTTTCGGTTTTGACAGTGGTCACCGGTTTCATTGAGCATCGAGGTATAATGGGCACCTTGGACGTTTGACCCCGTTCAAAGGGCGTATGATCCCATGAATTGGACACCGGCCCCCAATGGATTGCGGTTTCTACACCGCCCCGCTGCCTTTTGGGTCAGACTTTGGTTAACCGAAGGCTCCGGTTGTGGATTCCTGAAGAAAATTCACCTACCTTGGCCTGGGCAACCTGGTAGTATTCAGCCCACATGCAGACCATGGAACGCCTTTTCTTTTTCATAAATATTATTGTAATTGTATCATTGTATAATTAATAATAATTATTATTATTATATAATTTGTTTGGCACAGTCTGACCTAAGACAAGTGTGAAATATAATAGTAGTAATATTAATAATATGCACACTATTGCAAGCATTCTGGTCTGCTAAGAAGTGACAGCAAGATGGCCACTGCTGTCGGTCTGCTGCCATGACCTTCAGTATCTCCAACCACGCGGTTACGGAGTAAAGTGAGCAGAGTGAACTCAGTATGTTTACATACTTCTGCGGTATTCCTTTGCGCAGGAGCGAACCCACAAGGAATTCACGGTCAACTAAGTCGAAGGCTCCTTTTAGGTCAAAGAACACCACAACCGTTAGTAGACTAGGTATAGTGTAGCTCGAGGACTTGACATGGAGTGAAGATTTGATTGATACAGCCGCGCCCCAGTCGAAATCCTGTTTGTTGTTCGCGGATATTTAATACAAATAACGATAAATAAATGTATTTTACTTTTTTATGACACTTTCGTGTGAACAGTAGACGGGGAAAGCCCCATAATCAGTGATTGAAACCGGTAACCTAATCCTCGGGACTTGGAGTGGTGAACCACATAAGACCCCGATAGGCTAGATGTGGTACTGGACCGAATGACAGCAAAGCTGCCTACCACCAAAGTTGGGTGACCGGGCTCGAACCTCGGACCGTAGGGTCCAAAGCACACCTGTGACAGCGACTAAACCACTGTTCCACCACCACCACTCCCTTTTCATTTATTTAATATGCAAGTGTACGGTCAACTTTCAGGAGGCAGGCCACGGCCATACAAAGGGTGCCTGGGAAAATACAGAAATGGGAAGGACGCGTGGCGGTTCGAACCCGGGACACTTTGGTGACCTAGCCACTTGGCCACCACCACTCTAAACGGTGTCAGACGTCGAAGTACCACAGAGGTTAATAACTTGATGACGATTGGCATCAAACTTATTCCACGGCGGTTTGCGAAATCGTTGCGAGATCCCTTCTTAAAAATTGGAACAGTCAGTGATTCGTTCCAGGATGACGGAATGTGCTCGTGTGACGAGAAGTTACACATGAAATCAGTAAGGGAGTCTACGATGTTAGCGCCCCTCCCATCCTGAAAAGTGGGTATCGGTAAAAGAATAGTGGTTAAAATTAAGGGCATGATGGGCTAAAACAACATAATACGCATCAATTAAAAACCAGTATGTAAATCAAGGAACTGCATCAACAATAATACGAAATGAACTGCTCGCTGCTAGACATGTATTCACGGCAATTATTTACAATTTAGGCAGGTAGGAGGTATGAAGGAACGAGTAAAACAATGAAAATATCGTATACCAAATAGTCCAAATAGTCGGACAGTCGACTCACTTGTGACTGTATTGTTTGTTGGCGTCAAAGCTGTTAGCGTACGTACATCCCAGAGAAATATTGCACGGTCTAACCCGGCGCTCGCCACTTCTTCGCGATGACGAGCGTAAGCCAGAACTCGAACATAATCTTTGTGTGTTCGCAGGGTGGACATGCAAAATCCCTTCGTAGCATTCCACACCTTGACCGTTGTATCATTAGAAGCCGAAATCACTGGGGAAATGATTGATAAAGTTGAAGAGATATCAAAACAGAACTTTGAAATGATTGTTCGTATCCATCATAAACAAAAAGCCAAGGAATAGAAATCTAAAATAAAACGAAGCTTTTCGCAAGTAGTTATGATAGCGTGAGCATCGATTGTATTGTATTGTATTGCATTGTATTGTATTGTGTTTGTAACTTTTGTAAGCATATATGCTTACATTTCAGTTAAAAATGTACATTGTTCGTCAGGCAGAATGAAATAAAAATAATCAAAACAAAAGGTAAACAAGGTCGGTGATATACGTATCATGTACAAAGCATTTGACGTAGTTCATTTGAGACCTGTTCCTTTTTGGTGAGTAGTCAAGCCAGGTAGGATACAGGGGAATTTTTATAAATGTTAATGCGAGAGGGTAGCTGTCGAAATGAGGAGCGTGTGGACGGATGGGAACGACAAGATGATAGATCAGGGTGTAGTGGATGAAGAGGGTCA